AGAGAGAGGAAGGGGTTTGACTGTGAGCGTGGGGGATCAATTTCTTGCAGTGAAGGTAAGAGGGCTAGGTTTTATGGAGGTGGTGGCGCGTGAGGGGTGGGCCAGGGTCAATCGCTTTGCCTCGTCATGTGGGACCTCACACGGAGTGGATGCCAGGTGGGTTTGTAGGGCTTTATTGCGCTGGCTCGGCCTCACGACGTACTAGGGGTGGGATCGTTCGAATCTGTCAGTAACGGTCCGATCGATCGGAAGATATCGATGTCCATTTTCTTTTTGCAAGGAATAGTCAAAAGTGTTATAGCATGTGAAAAGTCAAGCGCATCTTATATTTCAGGAATAGTCTAAACAAATCAATATGTAACAATCGATTCAATACATATGTTTCTGTAACTCCTAAAATTCTGAAAAAATAGGACGTAATAAACAGTATGTATAACAGTACCACATGGCTTGCTTCGGTGACGCGTTAACGAGTCAACAACCTATGAAATATATTTTCGTATTATTTATATATATTGGATATTGCAGATCTTAGCAGATTTTTTTATAAATTTGGCCAAACTTTAGAAGGTTTGACTTAGAATATTCCTAAAACTGGAATTACTTTGAAACCGAGGGAGCATGAAACAGAACGTGAACGTGGTCAGCGTCCAGTGATGAACCTTCTCAGAACTGTGTTTTTCTACACCAAGAGCTGAGAAAATTGGCAGTATAGAAACTCTGCAACTTCCTATTTGATCGCCTACGACTCGGTAATTCACAGAAGCCACGAACCTGACTGAACTGGTGTGTACAACTCGTGAACCCAAAAGTTGGGCGGCGCCACGGGCACGGTTCACTACCTCCACCGTCGTCCGGCTGCCGCCGGTGGCATCGCGTGACACTTGGCTACTCCGGGGCGCCAGTGATCGCGATCGTGGGCACCACTTCCGGCTGTCCCCTAAGTACGTGCATGCGTTGCAGTAGAGGGGTCAGCATCAGCCGCATCACCACTGGTACTTGGCCTTGACGAGGACGTTCTCGTAGAGCTCGGCGGCGCGGTCCCAGCTGAGGTCCTGCGACATGCCGCGGACCTGCAGGCCCCTCCAGCTCTCCTTGTAGTTCCAGTACGTGTTGAGGCAGTGCCCGAGCGCGTCGATCATCCTGCCGGCGTCCGCGCGGTCGAACGTCCACCCCAGCCCGGTGCCGCCGAACGGGTCGAACGGCGCCACCGTGTCCCGGAGCCCGCCGACGGCGTGCACCACGGGCACGGTCCCGTACGCCATCGCGTACAGCTGGTTCAGCCCGCACGGCTCGAACAGCGACGGCATGAGGAGCACGTCCGCGCCCGCCGTGATCCGGTGCGCCATCCGCACCGAGAACCCCACCCACCCGCGCACCTTGTCCCGGTGCTCCCCCTCGAACCGCCGCAGCATGTCCTCCAGGTCCGGCCGCCCCGTGCCCAGCATCACCAGCTGCACGTCCTGCTGCGCGATCCACGGCATCGCCGCCGCGATGATGTCCACGCCCTTCTGGTGGTCCAGCCGCCCGATGAACCCGATGAGCGGCACGTCGTCGCGGACCTGCAGGCCCAGCTCGCGCTGCAGGGCCGCCTTGCACTGCCGCTTGCCGATGTCCAGCGTGTCTCGGGTGTAGTTGGTGTAGTCGTCGGAGTGCAGGTGCACGTCGACTGCGGGGTTCCACTCGGCCGTGTCGATGCCGTTCACGATGCCGTCCAGCTTCCAGTCGTTCTGGTTTATTATGTCGTGGAGGCCCCAGCCGCCTTCCATCGTCTTCAGCTCCCACATGTAGCCATGGCTGACGGTGACCACCCGGTCTGCCATCTTCAGGCCAGCAGCGAACACGTTGTTGTGCTGGCCGCCAAGGGGATCATACAGTTTGAAGTGATCCATGTAGTGCTCAGGCAAGTCCATGATGTTGAAGTCATCTACAGGGCCACGTCCCTGCAAAGCCAAATATTTAGTCTCCAGGTTTGGCACGATAAAAGATAAAAAATGTGGAGCATATCATTTGTTGATTAACTTTCATGAAGCTATACTAGTCGCCAAATAATTTTCATATAAAAATGTGGTGACATGACAAATAGTTCTAAACTGGAGGAAGTAAGACAGATTGGCAGATGAAAAGCTCTCACTGCTGATCAGTTGTTAAACCTAAAAATCATGCATGGCAACCTCTTATGGAATGACAATACAAGGTCAGCTCGTTTCCAATGAAAGGTACACTGATGGTTCAACTAGTACTCGAGTAAAAATGTGCAGTTAAAGATTGAGGTGTAAAACCTGATGAGCAATGTTATGGATCACGAGAACAGAACGAGTATACTGCATCAGGCCATTGTCTCGGTAATACGCCTTCAGATAAACAGGTAGAAGTGCAGTATGCCAATCGTTTGCAATGAAGACTAAATTGCCATCACCGTAGATAGTACCACCGCATGGAGCGTACCAAGGAACCTGCAAATGTTTGAACAGATGAACATTGTATTCATTTGGATAGGTGCATAATTAATTTGAAGATCATAATGACAGTTCATCTACGCTAGAATAACCAAACATACAGGCATGCTAGCTTGAGCTGTCCTGTGTTTCTTATGACTTAAGACAAGCTGATCAATAAAGCGCACATACGGCTTGCTGCAAGAAACTCAGCTTGAGTTGTCAGCTTGTTCGATGGTAGAGTTCATCTTATATGAGTCCAAAGGAGCAAGAGACATCTCACGTTTCAAATATCAAGAACCAATTTATATGGTCAATTTAAAAAATTTCATCGAGATGTAAATAGTTACCGATGAAGGAATTGGATCAAATTACTCACTCTGCTCCTGAATAGGCATCAATTTAGTGCACAATCAAGCCATAGAAACTTTGATCACAAATGTGTACGCAGCTGCTAGGTCTCAGCAATGGTGGTGATTGACTAGGTATGTTCTCAGCGCATGGCCATTTTCCATTCAGTTTTTCTTACCTGTAAATTTGGTGAGTCCAGGACTTATATGAAACTTTTACTTGCTTTCTACAAAAGCTGGACCATGATGGTCTTTTCTCCGAAAAAAAGGTAATGGTGTAAGATGAGTATTTGAAACGGACCATGATGATCTGTGTAAGAGAGTAGTTATTTGTGAATTGTTTACACATCTTTTCTTTGCGGGGGAAATTGTTTACACATCAATAGCAATACAATTTGCAAAGGTACCTCCACAGCAGCCTTGCAGAACAAAATCATGCGCTTCAGCACATCCTGCCAAAAATGATGGAAAGGTACACACATCAATTACATAAATATTAAGAGAAATTCGGTTTGATTTTCTATGGCTAAGAAAGCACTGGGGAAACAGATGCTTACCGGTCTTTCTCCTCCATAAATATCATTGTGCCGGTGGCGGAAGGGCGGGGCCTCTAAGAACACAAAATCAACTCCATCGATATAAGAATGAAAGTAGCTCACTTCTGAATCCTGCAAGCCAGACAACAATTCAATTAACTGATCTAGTCAATGGTTCCTTACACTTTTCATCTAATACTGCAGACTCTTTATTTTACATACCTGGCCAGCTACCTTGTAACGTTTGCGAACACCTAGATCACGAGCTTCTCCGTAATCTCCATATTTTGGTATCACGACCTAAAATTTAAAGAAAAAACTTATATTACTTATTTCCAAACTAGGCCAGCATACTCAATTTCGGACATACTCTACACTTAAATTTACAAAGCCCTTATACAGAAAAGTGGCATCTTAGGCATGCATATTGTCATCTCATCTATATTGAGCATGTTACATCAAACATGAAGAATGAATAGTTCTGTTATGACGCCGCATTTCTTCTTCCTCTTCTTCTTTCATATGCATAAATAATATTAGAGCCTAGACAAATATTCAAACAATCAAGGTTATAGTGTAAGTTTTTCTTTTCCACATGTTGCACACAAACTGAAAAGAACAACAACTTCTAAATGTTGCTCAAGCACGAGTTGCAGCACAACTTAATTACTCCCTCCGTTTGTTTTTATAAGACGTTCAGACAACTTGCTTTGTGCTGTTTTGAACAGTGTCTGAAAGTCTAAAACGTCTTGTAAAAATAAACAGAGGTCGTACATGTTTAGCCTCTTATGGAGAGCATCGGCATCAAAATGTGGTTACATTTTATATAAAAATATTCATCTACTAATTAAGTAAATCATGATCTCCCTTTGCAAGATGGAGCAAAGAGAAAAGCAAAGGAGTGGGTACCATAACACGATGCCCTCTTCTTGCCAGAGCCTTCGGCAAAGCACCCACAACATCTCCAAGCCCACCTATGCACGATATCATTAGTCAGAGAACAATTCACACAAGTTTAAGAGTAGTACATTCTAAGTTTGAAGGCTCATTCCTTCGCAAAAAAAGAAAAAAGAAAAAAAAAGTCTGATTGCTCGAGGCTCGAGCTCAATCAAACAGAACTAAAGGGAAGTCTAATTGCTCAGTTTATGTATGCACACCTGTTTTACAGAAAGGAGCACATTCAGAAGCCACAACGATGACATTCATCACATTCGGGCCAGCCAAAGGAGCAGACCCCATGTTCTCACTGTCAACCGGAGAACTCCACACTTTTGCTGCATCTCCACCGGCATCAACCTTAGCCCCAACCTGTTCAGCGACAACGACGTCTTTCCAATAACCTGATGCCGCCGCCGAGACAGGAGCTGACGGATCGACTTCGGATCTGCTCCCAGCTGCCCAATGTTGCTCTGCAACGGTACTATCTGGCCTGGGTGCAGATGCAACTGATTTTTGTGAAACAGCATCCTCATTTTCAGCAGCCTGAGCACGCAATGGAACCCATCAACAGTTCAGCATAAGAAAGCATGATAAAAACTGAAGGTCAATGCCGGATGATGCCTGTTAGTAACAAAAGTGAAGGGAAAACGCATGGCAAAAACTGCACGTGAGGCTACATTTCCGACAGAAAGGGCGACTAAACTGAACTGCGCTTTCTGCACTAAAAATAACACCCACTCTGACAAGCAAAGCCTTTGCAGAAATTTCGAATGGAAAAGAAGGAATGATACGAGCGTTACCAACCTCGAGCTTGCCGCGCTGCCCAGAGGCTGCCTGCCTCGAGCCCTCCCCTGCTATTGCCTTCCCCGCGCCCTCCTCACCACCAGCCACTGCCGCTGCTGCTGAAACACGGCGGCACGGCACCGATCCGTCCCGAGAAAACCCTCGCCGTTCCCAATGCAGCCGCGTACCGGCGGCACCGAAAGAGCGCGGTGAGCTGCTCCGCCAGCGCCGCGACGACGAGGAGGAGGCCACGAGCAAGAGGAACGCCGCGGACGAGGAAGCGATGTGCCCCAACATCCCGGGATCCGACGCGCCAGAAGTCTTCGGGGATGAACAGAAACAGCCGGACAAACAAGGCAGAGTAGTAGTGGACGAGGGCGACGGCGAGCGGCGCGAGCACGAGGGAAATTAAGCGCGGGTGGAAGAAAGATCTGCGCTGGCTACG